ACAAAAAACCGTAACTAACTAAAAATCCAAAATTAAATTTTTGATTGATTATGATGCATTTCATCGAATCATAAGTCCCCACATCGTTTTAGCCAATAAAAAAATTTGTTAGTTGTGTTTTTTTGCTTTTCAGCGACATTGTGAAATACGCCCTTTTAAAATAGTATTGAACGATATGTTCGATATGTCGCCTTAAAAAATATATCAAAACACATTGAGCGCATGGAATGGAACAACAAAACGGATTTGATGGCTTATGGTACCGACAGCGGTGAGTAATTAATTGTGACTGCATGCAACTAGGAAAATCTAATTACAAGCTATTCGTTACAGGCGAACCTTTCCAAGAAGAATTTTCTTCGAAATTTTCATTCCTAGAAAATAATAATTTATTTGTCATATCCACTTATTCACAACCTCGCTATAAGCGCACATTTTTCAAACCAGTCACAGAAGACAGGATTAAAAATGAATTACAAAAACTCAAATCGAAAAATGCTGATGACGTAACAGGTTCTCCAAATTCTGAAACAACCAAAAGAATTATTTCTCCAAATTGGAACACAACGGTGTTTAAACAAAGTCAGGAAGTACATCCGACATTTGCAGCCCCGATGCAATCCTCAAAAAGGAATTATGCAACTTTTCCATTATTTATTTATCTAAATCACCTAATGTACTAACCAAAATCATTTCTTAAAAATATTTGACATCCGCATTCGCATCCGCGGATGTCTAAAATCCCACATTCGCAACATCCCTAATACATACTGTAAAAGTATTAGGGCTGTTAACTTATCTATTAACGATTTAACTATAGTTTAGAATAGATAAGTTTACGGCCCTTAATATGCTTTATTTGTTAAATGGCCCATCAAGTCGATGGCCGTGTGTGTTCTTGTGGTGTGACTGTACCTGCTGCTGTTGCTACTAACTATTTGAGAATTTTATGATTGTACCAGCATGTTGGTGTCGCGACGACATGTCGTGAGTGGTGAAATTAGCTCAATTTATATACAACAAGTATAGTTGTGTTTTCGTATTCTCCAGCAAGAAATATCCAGTAACTTAACAGTAACAAAATTTCGGAGAGTAAGTCAATATTTACTCCCAATGAATGAAATATGCCAGATAGTACGAAAACGCAAAACCAGCAAGAAGCTGCTAGTTGTATGTAACAGCTGATTAATTTGTTATTTTCCGAAGAATTTTCTTCGAAAACTAGTATTTTGTCGTCGTATTTTTTCCTGAGCTCATTGTTTTTCTATACCATTACAGGCTAACCTAATATTCGCGGCTTGCGTTATGGTACGCATGCCGTCGAATTTGTTTTTTTTGCGTCACCCGAAATTGACTTGCATGCGTTTGCATTTGATTTCATTGAGCGAAACGTCAAATCAAAATGTCACGCAGAACAAAAATTGGAAATTGAGTTAGCTTCATACGCACGCCGTTCAATTTCGGTTGATCTCATACAAGTTGCATGTGCATGAGAAATTTTTGACAATAAATTGGCGGCGTGCGTGTGAAGCCTGTTACTTATTGAAAATGTTTGCGTGTATACTTATATATGTAGATGTAAGTAAAAAATTTTAGCTCCCATTTTTAGCCTCAACGACTTTTTTTAGCTCTTTTTTAGCCCTGTTTTTAAAGGAATTTGGCTACCACTAAAAATTATTCGCGGCAACACTGATGCGCACACTAGCAAACGCAAACTAATTCGCCGCTAGCGTTGCAACAGTTCGTTAGCTGCGCACACACGACTTGTGTGTGAAAGCCAAGTAGCTCCCGGAGACTCACGTGTGCACCACTGATCTAGATCAGTGTCCGCCAAAAAGAGAAGTCTTAAAATGAGAATGTATTAGTTATGAAATAAAAAATGAGAATGTGTTGGTGGTAATGCACGGAAATGCGTCATCAACCTGCTTCGCCTATTGTTTGCATGCAACTAAATAAAATTTGTTGCTCTGCTACTTTTTCTGTTGACGTTCGGATTGTGTACGTGTAAGAAGCCGATTGCGTACATGTGAAAGGCCGAATATAGTTCGTTTCCCAGGAAAGTGTTTGGCGGGCACTGATCNCCTGATACTGCCAGATTTGGCTGATTACACATTACGGTTGTTACTTTTCCATTCAGTATACTTTTAGGCCCACTGCTTTTCATTTAGAGAATTTTGGCGACGAGAACTTAGCGTAGCGGTTGTCAGAATTCCACTACAAAAACCAGAAATCGAAGAATAACGTTCATTTTCTTTTATTACATCTATTACTCTTGGTAGTTGAGCGCATCTTTTGTTTATATAACTTTTTATTAAACAAGTAATTTGCAAGCAAAAAACACAACCGACTTCAATTCTCATATGCAAATTTAGAAATATCGTAAATTTGTTTCATGATCCAATGATCTGATCTAAACTACATTACGGTACGACCCTTGAAGTACCATCTTTCCAATAAAAAAGAATTGTTGAAATCGGTTCAAGTGGTCCAAAAAAAAAATATTCCGACGAATTGAAGACCTCCCCCTTTTTTGAAGTCGGTTAAAAACGTTCGAGTTCTTTGTTAATATGATGTAAACGAAGTGTAATTTATGGAACTTTAAAAACATTATTTATTTATTACATCCTGTACATAAAACTTCATAAATATATTTTAAAGAGCATATTATCTGAAGTGAATTTTCAGAAGTATAAACCCCTCCCATTCCTGTGTGCGCCCTTGATACCTTGGATGTTCATATTGTTCATATATTGTCAAAAATAAGGGTATAAGTTTGTACCTGCTAGTCGGGTATTGTTTATTAAAATCTTTACGGTCGCCGTTATACGAAGGCACCCCTGAAATATTCGGGTAAACTAGGTTGCTAAAATGTTTGGAGATACATACCAGGGTTGTTGCGTATATTATTCCGAAAAAAAGTCCTCTCCGGATAATAAACAAACCGCTTATCCAAATTAAACCAGTTTGGTATCAAATGAAAGAGGACTTAAATAGCTTTAAAACTGAAATGTCTAAACGGGGAAAGACACACATTGAAAAATATTTCAATAAAAAATGTTAATGTTCTGTTTTAAAGATATTTCAGTCCTCTTCCATATGACACCAAATTTGTTTAATTTGGATAGGCGGTTTGCTTATTATCCGAAAAGGACTTTTATTTCAGAATAGTATTCGCAACGACCCGGATACATACATATATAATATTTTTCGCGAACCTACCAAAATCCAATCTAGCCTACCAACCAACCAAATGGGAAAAAACCTACCAGTTTTGGTAAGAAAAGCCCATGTTTGGCAACTGTTGGCGCTGCACATGGGCATGGAAAGTGCTTAAAACTCACCACGCTGGCTCCGGAATGATATTCTGCAAATAAATATATCAAATAGATAAATTATAAAATAATTGAGATTGATTTGATGCCAACAAATTTTTTGTATGAAGAAGTTTAGGTTTTACTACTAATATAACTAGAAACTGTAGAGTGATCAACATTCTTCATCAGCAAAGGATTTCTCATGTAAGTGGGAGAAAACTGCTTCATTACAAAACCTTTAATTACACTGCAGGGAAAATCTCAAGTTTTGAAAAAAATATGAAAAATACGTCGAAACACGGGAATTTAATTTTGGGTCGTAGACTACGGACCTGTATACCGTTTTTCTACATTAGGTAATTTATCCAACATATTTGCATTTAACTTTGTGAAGGAAGTAAGCTTTCAGGGAAAGAATAAAAAAAAACAGCTTTTTGGTATATTTGTGTCATTTGGTTTATTAAAGCGTATTCTTTTACATGAAAATCAAGCTACTGGCCAAAAAATCGATATGTATAGGGTGGGCCAAATAAGACCTACCAATTTCACGCAGCAGGTCCATAGTTTGCCTAGCAGTGTGCGCAGTCGCTCCATCTTGTTGGAACCACAAATTATGATGCTGATCTGCTGTTGGCCGCAAAAAGCTGTAAGAAGCCCCAGAAATCTTTTCTTGCGTTTAATACTCATTCTCGAAGAAATATGGGCCGATAACTTTTTCGTCCATAACACTGCACCAAACAGTGCATCTGGATGGGTGCAACTGATGCTGGAGTGTTGCCCCTGGATTTTCAGAGCCCCACAATATACAGTTTTGCTTGGAAATGCTCTTCATCCGACATCAAAACATTACCCAAAAAATCAGTTTGTTCGGCTAATTGTGTAAAACGAATAGTGCATTGTAGTCGTTGTTGCGAGTTAAGAGTTGTTGAAATCGTGTTAAGCGTGCATATAAACACGGGATTTGTCCACGGTTGTTTCATGCAACTCTGTATAAAGTAAAACATTTAAATAGTTCTTGAAATTACATTTAGGCCAAGCTTTGTTATAAAATTAATAGCTAATAACCTTTTTTCATGACTGTTTGAGTCGTTAATTGTTATTTTCCCATGTTTATTATTTTGAAGAATTGACACATGTATTAACATGGTTGCATCGGATTGAAATCTGTTTGAAATCGTGTTCGATCGACTCATTTCTTTTGTTGCGTATAAACACTTGTATTTCAAGCAAGCTACACTGACACTAGTTAATTCGATACCGCGTTTGATCCCGTATAAACAAGGTAATTGGTAGGCCCACCCTATACTACTAAGCACTTCGAAAATATTAAGCGCGAATGCTTCAAAACACACAGGCACGCCCTTAAGTTGTCAGCGCTTGGTTCAAGTTTTATTAATGATTTTTATTAATTGGCATATCCTTTAACTAAAAACAGAAAAAATGGACCTTTGAACTAAAAGTATTCATGCCAGCAAACAAAATATTGTTTTAAAATAATCTTTGAAATTGAATATCGCGAAAACGGTTCTGTTTTGGACATTATGTCGTAAGTTAAGTTAATCAAAATTACCTAGATATTAATGTCCTTAATTGCATGGAACGACTTTTCACGTAACTCTGTATATACAAGTAGTTACAGCTTTATACTAAGTGATAAAAATAGTTCACATACTTCCTTTTTTACAGAATAAACAAATTGATTTCATTAACGCGATCTCCAAAGGAGCTGAAACAAATCAAGTCTATCAAATTGTAATTATTTGGCGGTGCGATCAAACTCATTTAAAATATGAATGGATAAAGGTAGCCCAGCTTAACATGGAATCGAACCTATATGATTCAAATGAATATGTTATAAACGTCACAAAACGGCACCTCGACAAAACAATACAAAGGCTCTTAAAAGCAGGTGAGGCCTTCAGATTCGAAGCTTTTGTTGAGGTAAGTGAATTGCACGAATATTTTTAGATTTTTTTTATCGAGACGTTGCACTCTTCTCCGTGCCGTCACAAACACAAAACAGCATTTTCATAAAATTTCGCCAGGCCTTCTTATTACAAAGTTCTAACCGATCAAAGGTGCTAAAATCACCGCAAATCGCAATTTAGAAAGAACTTTTCAGAAAGGGTTTTTGGAAGACGGTTGAACATACATACATTTGGGATAGTTTATGCCATAAGCTCAGCCCCAAAAACTTTGTCCAGGTCTCCGTGGTTTTTTAAATATTTTTTTTTTTTAATTTTAACGAAATGCGTAGTTCCCAAACCTTTAAATCCATGTATGTAATACTCCTTCGTTGGCAGTAAGAGCTTGTACCGTCCGAAAACATTGCAGTAAAGATATATAAATAAACACGTACACATACTCGTCCACGTATGTTTATAAATATATTTATATACACACACACAATACATACACGAAAACGGTATTAGACTGTCTCGTTTTGATTTCGAAATTTTTACACATTGAGAAGATAGCTTACTGCCAATATAGAAGTATTACATGTGTATATGTTTAAATATGTAATCTAACGTATTCTATGTTTAAGTTTAGCGGCTGTGGCTCCGACGCAGCCTGCAGATTAGAGCTGCAAAACTATCGACGATTGTACTATCGATAGTATCGATAGTTTTATTTTTGGAAAAACATCGATTGTTTTTGGGCAATAGTCGATAGTTTCGATAGCGCCGGTGCATTGAAATTTCGTGATCTTTACTTAAATAAGTGACGCTGTAAATTAACTAAGGAAAATATTTAGAATTTTACGCTTAAGATGTAATATCTACCTATTTGCAATTATTTATTTACAAATTTACATATGGGTGTTTCCATGAAAATGTCAACCAGGACTGAAAAAAATAAAAACAACTGAAAAGGGGTTTAAAGACGCATTAATAAGAGAAAAATACTCGAATTTTTATATTATAGAAGTATTTCAGCTTATTGGAATTTTAAAACTCAAAAATGGAAGAGTAAATGAATGTCTCTTCGACTCAGTTTTCTCTAATGAAATGAACTATTTTCTCTTTCCTATTAACCAAATTAAGAGATTTGAAACATTACAATTACATTTTAAAATCAAATTTGCAATAACAACTAACTATAAAAATGAGAAAAAGGAGAAGTTAGAGCTCGAATAACGGTAATTTTTTGATTTGCTTCTGATAGTATTCTAATGTCGCGTACGCTATGCAAAAACATTGTTTGTCTATGTCATTCGGATATTGGCAGTCCCAGGTAATGCAGATTACAATTCTCAAGCGAGAATTCTTCCAGTTAAAGATATACAGTAAAATTTTCTTTCCAACCGAAGTAAAAAAAATTTGATTACCCTTTAAAGTTTGTCGCATACGTTATTGTAAGTACGAAAATTTCAATCAAATACATCAAAACCAATGTTAATTGCAAATTTTCCATTTAAATTATTTAGAATAGTTGTAAAACAATGAAACGGTGGCGAGAAGAGTTCTCAATAAATACATTTTATTACTTACGAGAAAAATTGTCGCGTACGTTATTGTTTTTTTAAATATAAAACTAGCCAGAGATAATTTCTCTTAAAATATGAAAGGATTGTAAAGGTACATTATTTAGCATAGTTTTGGAATTTTTAAAGAAAAGAAAAACTCATGATTCGCAGACTTTCGCATATATGTATATGTGCCTTATAACCATTTCTTTTTTTGTCGCGTACGTTATCACCTGGTTTTGAACGGATATTTTCCACACCAAAGTTTCGAGGCTGCTTATTTTTTTCTCAAACGTAGTACCCTTTGGTTGCAACTTAACCGTAATCTTTTTTTTCAGTACCTTCTATTTTTGATAGATTTACGTTTTTCTTTTAAGCGTACGAATGTCGCGTACGGCTGTATGGAAACACCCATATGTACACATATATACACATTTTGTTCGGAGTTGAAGATTCCCTGCATATACAACACGATAGTGTACGATACTATCGAAAATATCGATAGTATTTTTCAAATTATCGAATGGCGTCACTATCGATAGTTTTGCAGCTCTGCTGTATATCAAGACGAAGGCGATGGACTGATCCTTTTGATTTTAACTAAAACATAGTATTCTGTTTTTGTTTCGCGTGAAAATGCTGTCAAATTGCATATAAAATTTGTTTCTGTGAAAAACGTGTGAATTTCCTGAGCAAAGTTACTACTTTCTGTTCATTGTGTGAAAACTGCCAGTTTATAGAATTCAGTTGCGCCGAACACAAGGAGGTTTATGTGGTTAAACATTACCCAAGCCGATCGTAAAACTTTATTTTAACATTATTTCTCGAAAAAAAAATTAAATTTTGATTAATGGGCTTTGTATGGATGAAAAATTGTATAGTAGTGATGCCGATTCAAATTAATAAAAATCATTATGTCTTGCCCGACGGTCGAATTTATTCGGTTTTCTATAAATTCAAATATTTTCGTTCAAGCGATGTTAGGATTCTTGTTCTTATTTTTTAATTGGCAGCTATGTCCAGCGTTTCCGTTTCACTTAGATGTAAGCAAAATTTACTAATTCTTCCTGACTGTTTAAATGTTAAAATTTTCTTCGTTTTGCTTAATTTTTTTTCCAGTTCCTATCAAACGAAAGCAAAAACTAGAAATGAAGTTTCATGAACTATGTGGTAGTTTAAATTTACACTGCAGTATTATCAACTGGCACATTATTATTATCATTATTATGGGCCATATGCACCGCGACCTCTGAAGTGATCTATTGTGCGTGACGATCCGCCCTATAAGTGTGTTTGCGTTGTTCAACTTTGCGTTCAACTCAGCGCAGGGTTGCACGAAAAAAAGTTGAATGGCTAAAAATATCAAAATATGAAAAAATATCAAAATATTCGCCATAAAAAGGTGTTTGCATTGTTCAACTTTGCATTCAACTTTTGATTGATTGGCGTTTCAACTAATCGTTTTCAACAAAGTTGGTTGCCAGCCAACATTCAGAAAAAGTTTGGAATTCTTTTGTAGAATTTAGTTGGGGAAAATTTCCTATAAGGGCGGCCATTGAAGAGGTGGTGAGCGAAGGGGGAGTGGGCGTAGCACCCCCGACCACCTAAGCCCCCTATGGGTCCCTAGGGACGCCTTAGAAAAATCGCCAAATATCACAATTGGGTGCCACGCCCACTCCCCCTTTGATCACCATCTCTTTAACGACCGCCCTTTTTGCAAAGACAGCCCATTTAGTTATTTATTTTTAACATTTATTGTTGCTTTGGAAAAGATTTCTAAAATATCTTTGTTTATTTGTACCTAATTAATGGTAATTTGTAACAATAAATTGCACAAAAAATTAAAAAAAAAATTCTACTCCTTTTTTAGGTCTTGTACTGCTTTTTTTCTATCGAAAATATAAATGTACCCTTTCTCCGTTTTAAAATCTGGCAACCCTATTCAAATCCCACCCGATTCCGATTATTATCGTTTTTGAAAAGGTTCGTTAGATATTAACTTTACTGTTGGGTGATTCTGCTGCTTTTTTGGTCGTGAAAAAAAACAAATTCAGCCCAAACTAAAAGTCTAAAGGTCGATTTCTGGTCCCAGTATTGATGAATACCGAATGTAATTCTGGTTGAAAGTGCTGCCACATATTTTGTTGGTAAAAATATGTATTCTCTCTTGCTTATGATTGTCGTTGTGACATGATTTTGTTTCCATCTTTGTAAAGTTGCTTACAAAACTTACGATTGCTATAAATTTTGCCCCCATTTTTTAAGATTTACAGATTTGGTGTCTTCAGACTGAAAACCAAAAAAAAACGCACCAAGCACTAAACTCAAAAATTTTCGCGTTTTGAATTATGAAAAGCACTAAATTTAGTGCGAAAAGCACCAAGTTGGCAACAATGCCTGTGGGTCTAGGCAAAAATATCCCTCAAGGTTTAGTTTAAAATGGTTCCAGGGATACATCTTTCCAGAAGTTGGCACATGTGGTGTGGTTAAAAATTTAAATTATTTAAAATATTTTTATATATGTACATATATTTCGACTAAATAATATTAAATGCTTTCAGCAAGAAGAAAATTTCTGAAGTACAATAATTTTCTTTCATGATACAAAAAAGAAGGTAGTTTCAATAAACAACTTTTGACGGATAATAAAATTTTTTGAAGTTTCATAAATTGTCAGTATTATCAACGGCCTTGCCACTTTGATAATATTAAAACAATACATCGGAGTATTTTCTTTCCCATATTTTTACCAATGTGAGAATATTTCAAATCAAAACTCATAATCAGTACTTGATATTTTTTTACTTATGTGGTTTGCCCCTCTTTTATTAAAAATATATAAAATGTAAACTGTTGCATTGTAATTATTCTTTTTATTTTATAATAAAAACCATTAGTGCATTATGTTGTTATTTTTTTCATTTTCTTATTTTGATATACAATTTTCGTTTCTTTAATCTTGCGATTTAAAAATCGAATTCTAAAGAATGTTCTTCCCAAATAAAATCTTTTTATAATATTTTGGTCCAAATTTACTTTTAAATTTCTCATCAGATTTTGCAAAAATTTTGGCTTTGTGGTTAGCGAATCACCATTAATTTCAACAAATTTTGAATTCAAAATTTCCAATGTATGCAAAAAACTTGTCTGAAAAGTAATAGATTTAATCGCATAGGAACATCAAACTTATATATGAAATCAAACGACCTACCTCTCCAAACGCTCCAAATACTCTTCGAAATATGTCTCACTGCCAAAGCTTTCGTCCAGTTGCATCCTGAAAAAAAGCATTTAAATAATCCATATCTTTAAAGTTTTTTTTACCTTGTACACTGCGGCACTGCACTTTTCGAAAGCACTGCCTTCTTTCCGCTCATACCGATATCAGAAGATGCAAAATGTATTGAACACACAAATGGAAATCTGGGTAAATTTTCTTCGTGTATGTTACACGCTTCCAGCCACTGTTTTC